AACCGGGAAGCTTTATTAAAACGGGTCATTTGTATTTTATATTGTAATTGTATTTGAAATTTTTTAAAATTTCTTTATATAATTCTCTTCTGATGGAGAAAATTAAAATTTTTTTAATGCAAATCTTAACTAATCATGCCTAAAAAGATATAAAATATTCATTCCAACATATCTGTACAAATTTGAGGTAGCCCTAATACCTACCCAAAAGAGCTTTTTCTTTTTACTTTTGGTATAAAGCTCTATGAACCTTGTAATTAAGAGGAACAATTTTTATATTCATCAGGGACGGATTTGACCGGAAAGGGGTAAGTAAAAAAAGATTTGGAGGCTCAATAAAGTAACATTATTCAACAATAAATTCAACAACTTGCAGGACATAACCATCCAAATTCCAAAAAAAAAAAATTAGAAGTAAAACTTTAAATGAAATTGCGGCTATGTCTTTCCATTCTTATGTATGCACATTAGGGTGCATCACTCTCTGTATAAAAAGACGTCGGTACTGTTTTCGCAACGGAAATACATATTCGTCACTCGCGCGCACTGCCGTGCGCTGTGATATGTTATATTTAAGACCTCCGCCAAAATGTTTCGGAAAAGTATTAAGATTTACTTGACCTGGACTATTTGAAACTGCCTTAAAAAATCGATTTTTTTTTTCTAAATAAAATTAGTTTATTAACCGACTTCCAAAAAAGGAGGAGATTATCAGTTCGTCCGAATATATATATATTTTTTAATGTATGTTAACGTATAACTTTGGACCACGTCAACCGATTTCGATAATTTTTCCATCGGAAAGGCAGTGTCTCAGAGGTGGTCCCATACTAATCTGGTTTAGATCCGATCATGGGATCATGATATGTATATATGTATTATGGAACGAATTTCCGTCATCCCTTGTCAAATTTGGTTTGGAGACAAACCGGTTTCGGCGTTGTGCCATCTTCAGTGTCACTTTTCGTTCGGAACAACGCCGAAACCGGTTTGTCTCCAAACCAAATTTGACAAGGGATGACGGAAATTCGTTCCATAATACACCCAACTTGTCGGAAACAACAACAAGCAAAAAGGAAATATGTATATATATTAGACTGCATCACTCCCCATACAAAAAAAATCGGTACTATTTTTCCACTGGAATTATAAAATCTATTATATTTTAAGACGTCCACC